CACACACACACACACACACACACACACACACACACACACAGACAGCCTGTTTTTGCAATTTGCATATATGCAAAAACGCATAAAAAGTGGAAGTGTTGCTCTAGCGGTTGTTTGTCAGAAAATCCAAGTAAGCAGATGAACTAATGTTCATTTACATATTTGGGTGAGGGCGGTCGTTAGCTGCAAAACGCATTCGTTTCTGAATTCTCGGTAAAGTTGAGTATTTCTCACGCCTACCTGCAGGGAATTCTACCTCCAAGCAGGATTAAGGCCGCACTTGAAAGTAGAATATTCTAGCGAAATTTCATCATAGCAACTTGTAACAGAAGCGAAATATCCACTTTGCTACAAATATCTTTGAAGCGCCATAAGTTATGGCGCAAGTACAAATCGGTACTAATTTTAGGTATACTATTTCCTGTGTGGGAGACAAACAACTTGACAAAATTTCAGCCACTGTTTTCCAGCAAGTTTTCGAGTTAGCATAGTACCAAGTTGCAGACTTTGACGTGATCGTACGCGCTTCACAAGCGTGTTCGACAGCTAAGTTTAAAATCTTTAGCTCGCATATGCATTAGAGGATATCCCCGCAAAGTTTCAGTTTCCTACCTTGCCTGGTTCGCGAAATCGTCTCCCGCCAACGAAATTTGCATATTTTTTTGGAGGGCTCGTACGGAGGGTTTAGGCGTATGTGGGGGAATATCTTGAAACGGGAGGGTGAAACACGGGGTAGGGACATACATCTGAAGTTTCAGCCTCTCGGCTTTCCTGGTTGCTGAGATGAAAGTGGGTGACAAAATGCACTCGCTTCTGAACACACACACACACACACATATAGACAGCCTCTCGACAATATGCGTTCTTGCTGGCTGTAGCAGCGCTATAGCGCTGCACAGCAAAAACGCATAAAAAGATATAATTAGTATTTCGGCTTTTGTTTCGCCCAACAAAAAATTTTTTACTAGAGGTGAGAGCCTGGAATTTTGAACTTTAAAAGCCGTTTCTTTAGAAGTACTATGGAAAATAACTTCC